CACCAGTACCTGACCTCACAAATATATAAATTTGTGCAAATTCCCCCACACACACTCCAAATCTTGCCAAAACTTGTAGAAAGCCTTCTCAGAAGAGTGGAGGATGTTCTAACTGCAAGGGGGGAACTCTTTGTTAAAGTGGAAGTCCAAAACATACTCTAACTAAGCCTAAATGTACTCCCAACCATTCTAAGGCTAGTCAATCTACCCTGTAAAAGAAAAGATGTGTATACTTACGTATTCTGAAGTCGCTTCAGTTTGGTCACATGCAGGGGTGGACTGACCATTTGGAAACTCGGGCACTGCCTGAGGGCCCAGGACCAGTAGGGAGCCCCATGAGATGCCCCTGGTACCTTTTTTTTTTTTTTTTTTTTTTTTTTTTTTTTTTTTTTTTTTTTTTTTTCATTGGCTTTTTTGAGTTTGGGCAAGGACACAGGGGCCCCATGATCCCCTATTGCGCAGGGGCCCCATGAGTTGTCAGTCCACCCCTGGTCACATGATTGGGTCCCAGCATTGGCTTCAGTGTAGAGGAGAGGCAGTGACAACGACTGCAGAGCCTAAGCAATTACGTCACTCATTGGGTCACCATCGGCTTACTATAGGGCATCCTTTGTTGGCTATCCATCCTGTACACTGAAGCCGGCACTGGGAGTAAGTATAGACATCTTTCCTTTCATAGGGTATATAGAATAGTCTTAGAATGAGGGTGGGAATAGATTAAGACTTGGTTAGGGTTTGTCTGGAAATTAGAATTTGAAGTCCAACCAGCTCAGATCGGTAATGTGTTTGCCCAAACCAAATCCCTAGGGGTGTCAAAAACTGCTTTTAATGATTTACAAAATAGGCAACATATTTCGGGGGCAAAATACATTCCCCCTCATCAGGGCTTTTTAATGTTTTCAAGTGTTTAAATGGACTCTGGAAAGCAGATGCCACAGAAAATGTACTGCTTGCAAATAAATCAAATAGGGTAGAATTATGCCTGTGAAACAACCGCAACCATTTGAAATACATTACACTGTGTTAGTATATTTGATTGGTGGATTACATGTTGCTAGTACTAATACTGTTTTATGCTTTGTTGTGTCAAGCTGTTATTATGAGCAAAGGTGTGGGCTGGCTGATGAATTATTAAAGAAATATTGAAATTTGACTTATTAGGCTTGTTTAGTATATTAGTACATAGCTTTGTTCTGATTTAAGTAGTGTAGTAAATATGCTCTAGTGAATTATAGAAGACAACATCCATTTGCTGTATTTTTTTGTTGGCTGCTGAATTTTACTTTATGCAGTCATTGTTTTCTTTCTTTGCTCTGCGACTGCATTAATATTTTAAATATTAACATTTTATGATAATTTACAGTAGTTTAGCAAAGATGTATGTATATATATATATATATATATATATATATATATACAGTTATTTTTTTTAATTTGTATTCCATAAAATACATGTGCTGTATGGCATCTCTTTAAATCTAAACTCCGTCCAAAAATAATGCGGGTCAACTTTAATCACTTTCCGCCTGTAGGACATCACATCATGTCCTGGACCTTGAGTGGAGATCCTGGGATGATGCCTGCAGCTACAGGCATCATCCCAGTATGTTTTTTTCAAGCTGACAATGCTTTGTAATGTAAAAGCAATCCTAGTGGCTAATTAGCTGCTGGATTGCTTTTACAAGCGGCAGGAGGGGTGCCCCTCCTGCTGCACTCTGGTGCCTTCCCAGGTTCTCCCATTAGATCAGGGAGCATGAAACTGAAGCTGGCATTTCCGCCAGCTTACCATTGAGCTGAACAGGAACTGGAATGTCCCTGACCATCTCTATTGTATAAGAAACCAGAAGCAACAAGCATTTTGTCACTTCCAGTGCTGGATATAAACAAAGCCATTTTTAGCTTGGGAAAGTATCTGTTTACACTGATCCTGGTGTATTCAACTGCCTTTAAGGGCAGAGAAGAGATCTGGGGTCTCCCAGTAAAGAGTAACTGTCACTGTGTATTGCTGTCAGAAGAGATGTTAAAAAAAAAAAAATAAAGGGAAAGTATATAAAAAAAAAGTTTTTTTCTAAATGTGAAGCACCCCCATTCCTCTGTGCTCGTGTCCAAAGGTGAATGCATACATAGTTCACACATGCATATGTAAACAATGTTCGCAGCACCACATATGTGAGGTATCGCCGCAAACTTTATAGTGAGAGCAATAATTCTAGCACCAGACCTCCAGTGTAACTCTAAACTGGTAACCTATTTACCTTAGCATAGCAAAGCTTTTAAAGAGTCATCTATGGAGATTTTTAGACATCGTAGTTTGATGTTGTTCTACAGGCGTACGCAATTTTAAAGAGTGACATGTTAGATATCTATTTACTTAGCATAACATCAACTTTTGTATTTTACCCAAACATAGGTATTATATTGTGTTTGCAGGCACTAATATTCATTACATTGTATTTTTTCCCAACAATTTGCACAGGCAGTCCAACTCCTCCAGGATGGCACCTCAAAAAATGCCATTGCCAGAAAGGTTGCTGTGTCTCCCAGCACAGTCTCAAGAGCATGGAGGAGACTCCAGGAGACAGGAAGTTACTCCAGGGGAGCTGGACAGGGCCGTAGAAGGTCCTTAACCCATCAGCAGGACTGATATCTGTTCCTTTGTGCAAGGAGGAACATGATGAGCCAGAGCCCTACAAAATGATCTCCAGCAGGCCACTGGTGTGAATGTCTCTGACCAAACAATCAGAAACAGACTTCAGGAGGGTGGCCTGAGGGCCCAACATCCTCTAGTGGCCCCTGTGCTCACTGCCTGGCACCATAGAATGCGATTGGCATTTGCCATTGAACACCAGAGTTGGCAGGTCCATCATGGGTACCCTGTGCTTTTCACAGATGAGAGCAGGTTTACCCTGAGCACATGTGACAGACGTGCAAGGGTCTGGAGTAGCTGTGGAGAATGTTATGCTGCCTGTAACATCACTCAGTATGACCGTTTTGGTGGTGGGTCAGTGAAGGTCTGGGGAGGCATATCGATGGAGGGACACACAGACCTCTACAGGCTAGACAATGGCACCCGACTTCCATAGCTATGAAATCCTTGGACCCATTGTCAGACCCTATGCTGGTGCAGTGGGTCCTGGGTTCCACCTGGTGCATGACAATGCCCGGCCTCATGTGGCGAGAGTATGCAGGCAGTTCCTGGAGCATGAAGGAATTGATACCACTTAATGGCTCCCACGCTCGCCTGACCTAAATCCAATGGAACACCTCTGGGATATCATGTTTCAGTCCATCTGACATAGCCAGGTTGCACCTCAAACTGTCTAGGAGCTCAGTGGTGCCCTGGTCCAGATCTGGGAGGAAATCCCCCCAGGACACCATCCGTCGTCTTATTAGGAGCCTCCCCCGACATTGTCAGGCATGCATACAATCAGCTGGGGACCACACAAACCAGTGAGCAGCATTTTGAGTTGCTGCAATTAAATTTCAGCAAAATGGACTAGACTGCCACATCATTTTTTTACTTTAATTTTTGGGGTGTCTGAATTCAGTCCTCTGTAGGTTAATAATTTTCATTTCCATCAAACGATGGGGCATCCTTATGTTCCTAACTCATCACCCCGTCCATATCAGTATAGATATCCAGCATGATATTTTTCCCCATTGAGATCTGATGTGTTTTCAAAGTGTTCCTTTAATTTTTTTTTAGCAGTCTATAATGTTTGGGGGTTCTAAGTAATTTTCTAGCAAAAAAAATGATGATTTTTATATGTAGAAGAATGTCAGAAATGGCCCAGTAGGGAAGTAGTTAAGCAAAAGTGGATTTGCCTTAAAAATGTTTTATTCACTTCAACCTAACGAGCATGCTGATAATTCAGCCCAATGATTTGTATTAATTCGGTTGTTAATGCTCCCCATGACTTTTAGAGGATGACACAGAGAAACAGCCGGCACTGAGCACTATATTGAGTCGATCCTACATTAAATCAAAAAACAAAGTGCTCGCATCGACAAAAGCAAGCAGAAACCTTTTCCCACAGTAACTAAACAAATACAAAGACACCACAGCAAATGATGGATATGTTTAATATTTTTTCATAAAATATTTAAAGATTTTTTTTTTTTGTCTTCTCACTTGTTATATCCCTTGTAATTTTGTCTCGTAATAAGCCATGAATAAATAAGAGACGTTTATGGTTCGTGTAAAGGGAGCCGAGCGCCAGGCACAAACGTGTCTCTGCTAAACGTTTCCTTTAAGCCGCTGGTCTGTGATGGTGCAAACAAGGACAGAACTGTCTGCAACTTCTCCTAACTTTATAATCGCATTAAATATCAGTAACTACCGCTGACGGCACCACATGGGATCTTTTTATTTTTCTTGTTTGTTTTTCATGGAAAAAATGACTGTTTGACGGAGGGCAAAACGGGGACATGCCAAGCGTGTGGGCTTTGAGACTTTTGGCAGCTCCTGTTGAAACCCATCTGTAGCCGGTATGTAATTTAAAAGTAACACTTTGCAAACAAATTTAGGTTTAAAATAAACCTTTTATAAAATGTGTTGTTCTGTGCAAAAGGTCAGTGACAGACAGGAGATAATAAACTAAAAAGCTGAAACTGGAGGTCTGGAAATGTTTGAAAAGTCCAGTGCTAATGCAAAACAGACTTTCTTCCATCATAAAGTCCAATTGAAGCGTCCTTATTTATGCAGTTTTTAACCCCTTGCCTACCGGGCACTTATACCCCCTTCCTGCCCAGGCCAATTTTCAGCTTTCAGCGCTGTCACACTTTGAATGACAATTGCGCGGTCATGCAACATTATACCCATATGACATTTTTATCATTTTTTTTCATACAAATAGAGCTTTCTTTTGGTGGTATATAATCGCCACTGGGGGTATTATTTTTTTTGTGCTATAAACAAAAAAAGAGCAAAAAATTTGAAAAACAAAAAGGTTTTCTTTGTTTCTATTATAAAATTTTGCAAACAAGTAATTTTTCTCCTTCACTGATGTGCTTTGATGAGGCTGCGCTGATAGGCAGCAGTGATGGGCACTGATGAGGTGGCATGGATAGGCAGCACTGATGGGCACTGATAGGCTGCACTGATGAGGTGGCACTGATGAGGCGGCACTGGTGGGCATTGATGAGGATGCACTGATAGGTGGCACTGATGGTCCCTGATAGGCGGCACTGATATGTGGCACTGATGGGCGACACTGACAGGCAGCCCTGACTGACGGCACTGACTAACAGCCCTGACTGGCAGCACTGACTGATGGCACTGACTGGAGGCACCGCTGGGCACTGATAGGCAGCACTGATGGGTTGCACTGATGGGTGTCACTGCTGGGGCACTGATGGGTGGCACTGCTGGGAGGCACTGCTGGGGGGCACTGGTGGGTGACACTGCTGGGCACTGGTGGGTGGCACTGGTGGGTGGAACTGCAGGGCACTGATCATCAGTGCCCTGATGATCAGCGCCGATCTCCTCTGTGACAGCGTACGGAAAGTGCTGCTGATAACCAGCAACTGTATTTACTCCTTGATCTGCTGTGTCTTTGGACACGGCTGATCACGTGGTAAAAGGCCACTGTGATTGACCTTTTACCTCATCACATGATCAGCTGTGTTCATAGGACACAGCGATCACGGAGATTGTAAGGTGCACGTCCGTGGAGAAGCGGGAGGGAACATTGTGGGAGGACGTCGTGGAGAAGCGGGAGGGAACATTGTGGGAGGACGTCATATGACGCCCTCACAGAACTGGATAACCATTCTGTAGCCATCATTAGGCTACAGTGTGGTTACCAAGTGGTTAAGTAAGGGAGATGCGATTGGCTAGATGCTGGCGCCCCGATTCTTCTTGGATAAGACAACTACCCACCTGTTGCTGATGGTGCTCCTATTGTGTCATACTCCTGGTCAGAGGCCCTTTCTGATCATCACTGGCTGCAGGCCACATATAAAATGAATTTTCCGCACTTTACCGTGTAACACCCTGCCGTAATACTGTTTTCAGGATGTTAAATGGCAATATGGCAGTATCCTGCAGCCCAGTTACACAGACTCTGTTGAAAAGCTTTGTGGGATTCATAGGCTGATTGCAGGACTTCACTGTCTGACATGGAGCTAACAAACTACATTTCCCAAAGGAGCTGGCGGATGGGCAGGGGCAGATAAATACAGAAACCCGGGAACTGGAGGACAGGAAGTAGACGGAGAGAGAGATGGAGAGCAGGTGTAAGGAGAAGATCTTGCAGGACGCTGGAGGACCGAGTTGGTCCAGACTGCAGAAAGTGGAGGAGAGAGTGCTGATGCCTCTGACATGTCTGGTGGACAGCCCTGCCAGGAGGCAAGCTGGAATGATGATGTCCAGAGAGATCTCTGAAGAAGGAACCACAAGGAAAGGGCTCAGTTCCTGTGCATAGAAACTGTTACTGAGCGTTGGCTGAAAAAAAAGAAAACTAATGCCTCCACATCTAAATACTGGTAAGCTGCAATATTATTTATTTCAGGTAATTATATAGCACCGTCAATTTACACAGCGCTTTACATATATATTGTACATTCACATCAGTCCCTAACCCTCAAGGGGCATACAATCTAAGGTCCCTAACTCACATTCATACATACACATACTAGGGATAATTTAGACAGGATCCAATTCACCTACCAGCATGTCTTTGGAGTGTGGGCGGAAACTGGAGTACCCGGAGGAAACCCACACAGTCAGAACATGCAAACTCCAGGCAGGTGGTGCCGTGGTTGGGATTCGAACCAATAACCCTAGTACTGCCAGGTGGAAGTGCTAACCATTTAGCCACTGTGCTGCCCATGCAATATATAGCAATATATAGCTGCATTATGACATGACTCACATGCACATGTGCAGGAGTGACATCACTGTGGCCCAGTCAACCAAATGGGCAAAGAGTCCAAACCCAGAAGGAAGACTGGGAGAACATGGTACTGATCATGACTGATGGGAGTGCTGACAGCACAACACTGCAGAGGATCGCTTCCCAGGTAAGTCTGCCAAAAAAAATAATAATCTATTATAAATATTAGCACATTATGGCTAAAAGCGCTTAAAAAATCTGCTTTAACCTATTGCCGCCCATGTTACCCATATGTGTGTTGGCACGGAGAGTGCCATGGACACCAAGGAGGTGTCCATGAACTGCTGATATTTCTGTGCTGAGAATGCACTTACTTCAAGCTCCCTGCACAATGACCAAGCTGTCATTATGATATGGAGGTGTCAGGATGGGCTACTGATCATGTGACCACTTTGACAACCAATCCCTGTGGTCATGTGATTGGGAAGTCCATTCTGCCAACTGGGCACATAGACCCACTTAAAATGGACACTGGGGCAGGGCAGGAATGGCTGAAAATGTCTCCCCATGGTCTGAATTAGCTATAAATAATTCAACAATATAACAATTGTAGCTTCTTGGCTCTGGCGGTTATTATCTACTAAATAATTTTTTTTTCAGGGTATAAGTTCACGTATTGAGAAGAGCCAATTGCTCAGTGAAAAGCATCAATTCCCCAAAACAGGGTTTAATCCTTTTTTTTGGCAGTAAAACGTATCATCTATCCACAGCCAAGCAGCCTCCAATCAGCCAATGCCGCAATGGCTTTTGTTTAATTTACCTTTGTGTGTGTGGGTAGCCCCACTCCCTCGTAATCTGTTTTATTTCATTCTATCAATGGCATCCCTAATGGCCCAATTTATCAAGTCAGAATGCAGACTTTTTTCCCATGTACTTTAAATGCAGTATTTAAATCATGCTTTAATGAATTACGTTCATTGGGGGGTCACATTCCAAATTAAGGAATTATAGAACTCAGGTCATAAAAGAGAGGAGAAGTAGATATCAGGTTTTCTGCAATTTCTGTCATTGTGAGCTGTAGCCTTTCCTTCTTATTAAAGGTATTGTATACTTTCAAATGTTTTTGTTGTTTTACCTAGTTATTATTGTAGTCAGGGGCGGACTGACAACTCATGGGGCCCCCAGGCAATAGGGGATCATGGGGCCCCTGTGTCCTTGCCTAAACTCAAAAAAGCCTATGAAAAGGTACCAGGGGCATCTCATGGGGCCCCCTACTGACCCTGGGCCCTCGGGCAGTGCCCAACTTTCCAAATGGTCAGTCCGCCCCTGATTGTAGTTATGTTGTTTGTTAGACTTACCTTGTAATGATGGGCTTGCAGGCATGTTTTCCTCCTTCCATTAGGAGGCACTGTGACTTTATAGAGATGTGGAGTCTGTTATGGAAATTGCCCCTCATTGACACCTTCAGTGTCTCAGAGGAACCATCCGTCTGATTGGACACTGCCAACTCTGGTGAACTTTGGCAGCCATTTTAGTGTGGAACTTCATAAAATAGGGTACCCTGATTTAGATGAGGACTAAGAGTCCGGTGATTATCTGCTCCTGTTCAAAATAATCATTCTAGCTAGCTTTGGAATGTGCGTACACTGGAAGAGACTCACGCTGACACACAAGTTCAGTCTATGAACACTTCTAGTTTATTATAATGAGAAAGTGAGCTTATATATGCAGAATGATGCAAGAGTCATGTGAGCGCTGCATAATCATTATATTAGTCTTTGATTGGTCATTTCCACACGAAAACAATCTTCGTCAGAGTATAGGCGTGATCTTCTTCTAAGTCTTATCTATAGAAAGAAAAACATTCCTTTGTCTCGAATCCACACGATGGGAGGGGGTTGGTGAACAGACATTTCTTGAGCAAGGATTTCTTAATGTACCACAAAGCTCAGCAGGCAGAAAATATACACACAACATATATATATACACAAAACATTTAGAAATAAAAAAAGTACTACAGTATAAAAGTAGATATGTATAGAAAAACGTATATATTCAATAGGAAACCAAATAGGCATTTTACCATATCCATCACAACCAGGGGCGGACTGACAACTCATGGGGCCCCCGGGCAATAGGGGATCATGGGCCTCCTACTGACCCCGGGCCCTCGGGCAGTTCCCGAGTTTCCAAATGGTCAGTCCGCCCCTGAATAGAACACTGATGGGGAAGCCTCAAAGAGGGGGATGGGGTCGGAGCTTAGTTTTCAAATATTTTTCCTTTAAAGGATAAGTTCACCTTTGGAACATGTTACATGTTCCAATCTGACAGCACAATACCACCTATCCCAACAACTACCCTAAAGAAAAAGCAACAACTTTCACCCTTGAAAGTTAATGTGAATAATACTAGACTTTTCTCTAATGTTATATTATTTTTTTTTTTCTCTTTTCCTTCTCGCGTGTGTATTGCACATGTTATGCAGTTTGCATGATTCATGAATTTTGGCACCTTACTTATATATAAATGGTAATACACTATCCTGAGTTTATATATTTTTTGAGGTACACAAGGAATCTGGAAACATCATGCTGGTTAAAGTAAAGAAATACATGATTTGTTTGGATGTGAAAAGACTATATCATATAGAGACAATTTTTTGGATAATTTTTGATTGAGGACATTTACGTTTTTGGACACTTATGCTTGGTTTGTTTATTATTTATCTATTATTTATTATTTTATTTTGCTGAGAAAAGTCTGTTATTATTCATGTTACATGTTTCACCCGTTTTTAGGGTGGAACATGTAACATGTTACCATAGCCGCAGCCACGCCCGCTGCCCCCCCCTGTCAGATAGTAAAAAATCTGTCAGATTTGAAAACAGATTTGTTCTGTGAACAGGGGCGGACTGACCATTTGGAAACTCGGGCACTGCCCGAGGGCCCAGGGTCAGTAGGGGGCCCCATGAGATGTCCCTGGTACCTTTTTTCATCGGCTTTTTTGAGTTTGGGCAAGGACACAGGGGCCCCATGATCCCCTATTGCCCGGGGGCCCCATGAGTTGTCAGTCCGCCCCTGTCTGTGAATGAGTGCCTACAATTCCCGACAGCCTTGGAGGCTGTCGGCTTGAAGTTTTCAGTGAATTACCAGTAGTAGTTCACTGAAGTTTCCTGTCAGTATATCTGCTTGCTCATACATCCCGTACGGCAAGCAGGTATTCTGACAGGTCAGCAGGAGACCTGCATGGCATCAGTGATCTACTTATCACTGGTGCAATGCTTTCCAGGCTCCTACAGACAAAAATATTTATTTATTTCTGGTATTTATATAGCGCCGTCAATTTATGCAGCGACTTACATATATGTTGTACATTCACATCAGACCCTAACCCTCACATGGCGTACAATCTAAGGTCCCTAATTTTCCCACATGAAAGAAAAATATATTTGAAATATATTTTTAAAATAAATAAATATATACAGTGTGTGTGTGTGTGTATATATATATATATATATATATATATATATATACTGAACGTTGAAATGCATTCTTATTACAA